AAGAACTCAGGCACATGGGGAGGTGTAGGCTGAGGACAAATATGTGGCTCAAGCCACATATTCCTCAGTTCTTCACTCTGCCCTGCTAGGGGGCTGGGAGGCTGGAAGGCAGTCTGCTCGGTGGAGGAAGTAGAGATAGGAGGCTGAAGGCACCTGGGCCCCAGCCTTGGCGTAGCAGGCACTCTCTGTAGCACAGCCCCGAGTGGCAAATTTGGGGTTGATGAGACCTGAGAAGGGGATTTCAGAATGGAGTCGGCCCCTACCCCCGCCTTCCTCACCACCCAGGGACCTTCCCCCCCGCCCCTCCACTGCCCCACTCTGCATGTCCTCACCCAGTTCCCCGGAGCCACCATCTCCCCTAGAACCTGGCAGTATGGGCTTCCAGTTCTGGGGCCCTGTCCCCTCCTCTAGAGATCCAGGTTCCCCTCACCAGCCTGCACGTTGCCAGCGAAGTAGACGCAGTGGGTTTCCTGGCCAACACAGCGGGCTGCCTGGGTCCCAGGGCATGTCTCCTGAAAGGGCGCGATGCAGGCTGGGCACTGGAGACCGTTCTCAGTGCGATTGTTCTGGGGAGCTGTGGATGAAGGTGCAGTGTAAGGTGCAGAGATGAAAGCCTTCCCTCACCTCACAACAACCCGGGGGGGGGGTCGGGGGGAGGGACATGGGCTGCGAATGGACACTGCCTTTCCAGGTAAGCAAACTGAGGGGCACGGCAAGCAAGTTGCCCAGTGTCTGAGCGCGGGGCAGAGGCAGGCGGGGGCACACACAGTGGGCTCTCTAGGGGCGGCTGGAAGAAGCGAGTCCCGATGCGGGGCTGAGCTGGCACTCACGGGGCACGGAGCCATGGTTACAGCCGTCACTCTGGCAGCAGCGGGTGTTGGACACCATGTAGTCCTTGGGGCCCATCGTGGTGGACACGAATCCCGTGTAGCAGTCGCTGTACTTCATGCAGGCCTTGTAGGTGTTCAGAGCGTGATGGCCCTCTGAAGGATGGGGGGCAAGGAAGGGAGGGCCCCCGCTGCGCCTGCTGACCCCACTCCAGCGCGGACCCCGGCCTCCGTGAGAGGGGGGTCTCCCAACCCTGCACTTCTCACACCCCCGCGACTGCCTAGAGTGGTCTCTTCCAGCGCCCCAAAGCCATGCCCCTTTATTTGCCTGGGGTATGGTCTGGAGTAGTTTATAAAGTGGCGCCCCCCCCACCCGCCCCATTACCATAGCCCCCAGTCTGCCTGATGGCCTCTTGCAGCTCCCCATTGCCAAGCCCAGGTGCCTGCCTGACCGGGTCCCTTCTGCCCCGCCCCACTGCCATCTTCCTGTCTAGGTCCTGTCTAGGCTTGTGCGAAATGGTCTCTCCCAGCCTTCTCCATCTTCGCCCTCCTCCTGCACCTTCCAAATCCCATCCAACAAACCCTGGGAGGCCACCCCCAACCCCACCCTGCAACACCCATATCCTCTAAGGTGGTCTCTTGCTGCCCCCACGTCTTGGCTGCAGTGGTCTCTTCCAGTCTCCGTGGTCTTCCCCCTCGCGACCAAGTGGTGGTCTCTCCCAACCCAATCCAAGGATTTTCCTCATCACCTCCTAAAAGGTGCTTTTTCCCCACCTTCCTCTCCCCCAGTCCCAGGGTTTGAATCTCCCTCCTATAAGCCTGGGGTCGTCTCTTCAAGGCCTTCGGGTCCTTTCGCCCACCTGCCAACGCCTGCTCGCTAGATAGGGCAGCGTGCAATCCTCTATCCCACCCTCCTTACACACCCCCTCCGGTAGGGCGTGGTTTCTTCCTACACTCCAGGTGGCCCTCAGCTCCGCCGCCTTCACACCTGCCTCGGCCCCATCATCTCCCCTCCTGTGTCTAATGAATGGTCCTTTTCAGCTTTGAATGAAAAGCCCTGCGCTCCACCCCCACCCCCCGCCGCCCCCATGGTCTCTCCATCTCTCCCCTATCCTTTCTCGGGTCTAGGGCGGTCCCTTCCATTGAAGTCACGCCCTCCTCTCCCAATTCACCCACCTGCCTCCCCATCTCCATCTACTTCTCTTCACGACGATTTGCTTCATACTTCAGGGTTCTCTTTCCTCTCCTGTCTGGCAGGGCCCCTTTTATGTCTCTCCCTCGACCTCCTCCTGTCGGGAATGGTCCCTTCCATCCCGCACCGCCCCCACCATCCCCGGGGGGTGGGGGTGGGGTTTCTTCCTCCCATTTTGGACGATTCCTCCCTCTCACCCTAAATGGTCAACCTGATCACATTCTTCCCAACCCACACCAGCCTCTTCCTTCTCTTCTATTCCTCCCCCACCCCCATTCTACCTCCTGCCTATTAGATTCTACCCCTCTCACCTGTTCTGTTCCCCATGTCCTTTCCTTTCCTCATCTCCACCTGCCTAAGAAAGTCTCTATATCTGCCCCCGCCCCCCCAATCTAATATTTTGCAGAGTCTCGTTTTCCGAAATCCCTGAGAACAATGGTTTCTACCATCCCATTGAATTCGCTTCCTTCCACCCACCACCTCAGGATAGTCTTTCCCTCTTCCCTGACCTCCCACACGAGCACCGTGATGATCCCTCCCTTGGCGTGAAGCTATCTTCTACCCTTGAAGGCACAACCACCTCCCCAGGGTGTGACGCCAGACCCTCTTCGTACTTGTGCTCGACTCCCCGACGATGACCACGCATGCGTCCTTGCCGGCCTCGCAGGCCTTCATTTTTCCGCTGCACGTGGGCCCGGAGCCCCGGCACACTTCACAGCTCAGCGGGCACCCTGCAGTGTAGAGAGCCAGGCTGTCGACATGAGGGGCATGGTCAGCGGACCACCAATGAGACTTCAGGGTCCAGAAGGAGATGGGGCAAAGGGGGCCGGATTTGGAGTCCTGAGGGAGGAGGGACAGGTGTCTCCCTAATTGTTCAGGGGTGGAGCACTGACCGCTGTCCAGGGAGCTGTCCAGGGCTCTTCCTGGGACGCGGTGGGGAAGCCAGCAAGGCCGCTTCCAGGGGCGGGAAGCGACTCCACCAGGGAGCCTGTTTCCCTAATTACAAGGCTGGGGACTTGGAATGCTAGGGTCCTCTGAGAAGGCTGGGGGACAGGGAGGGGTCCTGGTGAAGGTTTCCAAGGGCTTTTGTGAAGCTTCAGGTCCAGCTGTTTCTTGGACACAAGACCAGGTGTAGGTCTTGGGGATGGTAGGAGCTTAGGCAGGGGAACCTGAGCCTGGGGTCTTCATCCCAGATCAAGAAGGGAGAGTCAAGACCAAGAGGGCAGAGGGCATGGACTCCTTGGTCCTAAGAGAGGAGGCAACTGGGGGCCCAGACATGAGTCCTGGGGAAGGTGGAGCTTGTCTGAACTCCCACCTCTAAGGGAAGGGGGGCTGGGGGTCTGAACTCTAGAATCCAGGAAGAAAGGAAATCTCTACTCCCCCATGCCGCCCTCCCCCCAGCTTTTTTTTTTTTTCCTTCCCTTTCTAGTCATGCTCTCATCCAATTTCCTAGACTTCCTGTCTTATTTGGAGACCTTGCCTGGGGGGACAGAGGATTCAGAGCCCACCAAGCTCCCTCCTTTCTCAGGGATCCAGTCACATGAACTTTTGAGCTTTTCTTCCCTTGAGGCCCCAGGCTTTCTCTTCCTTCAGACCCTGCCTTCACCATGAATCTGAATTCCCAGGACACCACCTCTGTCCCCCTCCAAGACCTTGCTGAGTGCTCTCTCATGGTCCTCATGGTCCAGATCCCTTCTCACTTACCCAGACCCAGGAGGGTGCAGAGCAGCGTAAACGCCAGCAGGAAGGTCCCGGGTTTCATGGGAGTCCTCATGGTGAGTGAACCTGTAGTCCCAGGTCCCCAGCCCTTATAGGAAGCTGAGGAGGGGCGGGTCTGGATCCACCTTCACCCTGAGGTGAGAAATAGCTGAGGTAAGATCTCAGGGCAGGCCTTTGTGGCTCTGCGTTGGGGATACGGAACCAGAATCCAAAAGGGACATGGGCATCTCATGCTCAGCTACCTGCTCCACAGGGACCCCAGGACTCTGGGCTTCTAGCCCCCTCTTCCATCAAGACCCAGAAGGTCACTTTCCTGTTTTCTCACATTCCCACCGCCCTCCTCTCCCCCTCTTTTCTGGCCTGAAGCCCAAGGTCAGAGTCGGGTCACTTGATTCCCTCTAGGTATAGGGTGGCTGCTAGGACTGAGATCCCCTCTCTCTTCCCTCTCTTTCCAAGGAGGCGCCCAGCGTGGGTGGGGCCCTACTTGGGAGGGCCCAGCATGTCCAGGCTCGTTCTGCGGGGGACTAGGCGCCCTGTCTCTCTTCCTTCTTCGTGCGCTTGGCTCATATTCCCTGTTCTGTGTTTGGGCTGTCCGCAACTCCGATCCCGCCTGGGGCTGCACCTCTGGGTCTCACGGGGACCGAACAGAGGGATGACTGTCAACAGGCAGGGGCGGGCGTGGTAGGAGACAGATGCCCACAGGTCACATATTGGGAAACTGAGGCATCGGTGAAAGCATTCTAGGTTGGGTGTATCTGGTTTGGATGCATACTTTGGGTCTTATTTAGATAAGTCTTTGATCCACTCTCTTGGCCTCAGGCATAACCCTGGAGAGATCGGAGATTTTGTTCGTGTGTGCATGGTGGTGGGGTAGCGGGGAGGAGTGTAACCGCAGGAACCCGTGGAGAGGATCCCGTAGCAGTATGCTCCAGGTTCCCTGGGAAAAACCAGTCAGGTCTGCGTTCTCCTATTTTCTAAGGCTTCAGTTTGGGCGGTGACTGCATCGTCCAATGAGAATGGCGAATTTTTTTCTAGGGGCCAATCCCGGAGGCCGCTCCTGTTGCCAGGCGCCCAGAAAGCAGGGTGTGAACGACACCGGGAGGCGGAGCTTAGAGGAAAGCCCGTTGCTAGGGAACTAAGCGCCTCGCTCCGGAGAGGCGAGACTGGGCATGCGCGGCGTCGACGCGTGAGCCGGCGCGCCGCGGTTTGAAAGGCCCGAAGCCTGTGCGCTTGCGCACTTCAGCCCGCGCAGGGAGCACCCCCCCAAACTCGGACCTTCCTCCATCCTTCGCGCCAGGCGAAGCCCAAGACGTTGACATGCCGGAGATCCGTCTCCGCCATGTGGTGTCCTGCAGTAGCCAGGACTCGGTGAGGAGCTGGCTTGGGAGGAGGTTGGAAGACGTCAGGGAATCCATGCGGGGGCACCACAGGAACTTTGGGAGAGTGAAAGGGAACTTCACGGAAGTCTGTGGCGGGTCAGGGGGGAATTCCAGGAGGCTATGAGGGAATTCTGGGAGAGATGTGGAATAGGGGAACTTCCGGTCGGGAAAGGAGGCACTGGGGAGCATCCAGGGGAAAATGTTACAGGGGACTCGAGGCAGGGTGTGGTGGGATTAACGGGGAATTTTAAATCTGGGGCAGCGCAGAGGGCTCGGGAGGACTCAAAGGAATAATGTGAGAGCCGGGGACCGAGCTCTCTTCCCTGTACCCTTACTTTCCTTTTTCCACGCTTATCTCCAGACCCACTGTGCAGAAAACCTCCTCAAGGCGGACACTTACCGAAAATGGCGAGCAGCCAAGGCAGGCGAGAAGACCATCTCTGTGGTGCTCCAGGTGATCCTGCCCTCCCCCTGCCTCCTTCCTAATAGGAGTCTGGAGACTCAAGGTTCAGACACGGCTCTTGAGCCAACTGGCAGTGGGTTAAGACACTTTCCCTTCTGGACTTCAGCTTCCTTACCTGGAAAATGGGCAGTGTGATTGCTGTGCCCCTTAGCAGAGGACTAAGCCAGGATGACCATAGGAATCAATGTGTGGTTGTTTTTACTTTCTGGGCCTCAGTTTCCTCAGCTGGAACAGAGTGAATCATTCTCACTATCCTGCCTCCTGAAGTCAGTGGGCTCAGGGCTGGAAAGTGTCCCCGAAGTTCATGGAAACCAATCAACCCCATTTTAAAGATGGGGAAACTGAAGCGGGAAGTGGGGAGGAGTGACGTGGCGAGGCTAAGTGCCATTCTAGAATGCTTGCCAGGTTCTTCTGAGTGCTCTCACCCACTCTTCACCCCAGTGCTGTGAAATTGGAGGCAGGCACGGAGGAAAGTGTGGTTTGACCCCATATGGTTACAGAATTCCAAGCGGGCTGTTCCTGTCGCGGATAAGAAACTGATGGGAGGAGAGAGCTAAGCATGTTTGAAGCATCTGCTCTGTGCTGGGTACTGGCCTGGATGATCTCGCTGTTCACAGGTGCAGTGTGACGCAGGGGCCCTTATCACCATCAGTCAATGGCATGCTAAGACTCAAACCCACATTGGTGCTCTGAACACTTTGTCACACTGCTTTGTGTTCACCCACTGGCTTTTTTTTTTTTTAAAGATTTTATTTATTTATTTATTTCAGAGAGAGAGAGACACAGCGAGAGAGGGAACACAAGCAGGGGGAGTGGGAGAGGGAGA